GGGGGGTGGTCTCTTCTCCCTAGTGACAAGCGACAGGACGAGAGGAAATGGCCTCAAGCTGTGCCAGGGGAAGTTTAGGTTGGATATTCGGAAAAACTTCTTCACCAAAAGGGTAGTCAGGCATTGGAACAGGCTGCCCAGGGAAGAGGTTGAGTCTCCATCCCTGGAGGTATTTAAAAGACAGGTAGACGTGGTGCTTGAGGACATGGTTTAGTGGTGGACTTGGCAGTGATAGGTTAACGGTTGGACTCAATGATCTTAAGGGTCTTTTCCAACCTTAATGACTCTATGATTCTATGATTCTATGTTGGAGTTCCCTTGAGCCCTGGCTTACCAGAGGTCCCAGCTCCCAAGAGCTGCCCATGGCAGGACATCTGGAGGTTCTGTAAGGAGATTCAGCAAGGAAATCTCTCCCTTCTGTATCCACTTCCAGAGACATTAGATGGCATTTCAAACGGTTGATACCCTCTCCCTCTGATGGGGATGCTGTATGCATATGAGAACTGGCTAGGATCTCTCCTCTGGGAGAAGGGAGACCAAAGACCGGGATGACACAAGAGCAGATACAATCAGGTGTGAGGTCAGGGCCTCAGAAAGAAGAAGCAGAGAGAGAACCAAAACCAGTGGAAAGGAAAAGGAAAAGGAGGAAAAAAACTGGAAGAGTGGGAGACAGGCTGAGTCTTGAGTCAAGGGGAAAGCCAAAATAAAGTCTAAAATAAAGGAAGGCCAGTGAAGAATCAGAGACAAAGCAACTCATTTACAGATACAACTCAGGAGAAAGAAGATGCAGATAAGCAATGAGCACAGCCTAGGCCTGACTGGCTTCTTGTCATCATCAGGAGTTTCTAAAGATTGGAGGGCACTTAAAGAGCGAGTCTAGAAGGTCTCGCTGCTCTCCTTCCTTACACATCCTGGACCATAAGCTGATTTTGTGCCATCATAACCTCACTGTGTGGCCCATTCCTGCCTCCTTCACCATCATACCATGCCCCAGTTAGTGCCATCTCCATGACAGCAGAAGATAGACCAGAATGATCATCTCATAGCTGACCCACAGCTGAGCTAAGCTACAACCTTAGACCTCAGGTATAGCTGACTTGTGGATTACAGGTCTGGATAGAAAAGACTGGTCCTGGCAAGAGGACCTGGTGTCTGGTCAGAAAGGGTTCTCCCCTCTAAACCATTCTTCTGCTGGAAGCCTTGGTGCTTGGAATGGTATAGCTGTTCTCAGCCTCATTACACAAGAAGAATCAAATAATCTGTGTTGGACAAATTCTACATTTGGTTCCCAAAATTCCCCAACAGTATGGAGCCTCATATGTATTGCCTCTTTTCTTTTGCTACTCCATGCTCCTGCCACACACTTAAATGGCATTTGGCAGTTTCTGGGGATTCTTTGAGAGGAAATGGCCAACAATTGAGAAACAGTTCCTTCTCTGTCCTGTAGATGGGAAGGAGACACACCAAGTAGCCACTGAAGCCAGAGGTGAAAGAGGTGTCCACATATATGAGAAGAACAGGTTTATTTGCACCACCACCACCACCACCCTGGGAAAATTACTTTCAGTAACCGTATCTACTTTTGAGTTCTTTCTTTGACACAAGCATCTCTCATGCCTTGAGCAATTTCTGAGCCTCCTTCCATGGGCTTTATACTTGGTAGCGGAGACCTGAAAGTGACAGTCACCAAGAAGACCCAAAAGATGCTCCACCACAGCTGATCAGGGACTTCTTGAGTTTGTGACCTACCTCAAACATCAATGGCAGTCACCACCATTGCTCCAAGGCAATGAGGTTCTCTCACTAAGCTCCAAAACACAGCCAGTCTTGCCAGAGGAGGCCAGACTGCTGAAACACCTCTGACCCTCTGCTACCCACTGCTCCCTCCCTAGCATCCTGCAAACTCCCTAGTCACACTAGCCAAGACAGAAAACCCTGGGAGCCAAGGACAGCACTGGGGGGGATTAGAGAATCTCCCTCCTGAGAATCTCAGCAGAGAAATAAACACATGAGGCTGGGTCCAGGGCTCTCATGGTGCTCCAGAAACAGAGAGACATACATTTGTGCCATAGACCCAGAGGAAGAGTTCACAAGTTGGCAGACTGCCATGTCTGGCAGACATCACTCAGGAATCATGGCTCTGAGCTGTCCTCAAAACAAGACAGAAAGACACTGGGTCATACCTGACCTGTTCCCAGACACCTCCGCCAGTCTACACCACATCAGAGAAATCCAGCCTCACTTTGAGAAGGTCCCAGCTCTCTCCTGTCACCCCTTCCAGGAGAGAAATGCACAAAGACTAGGCTGCTGACCAGAGAAACTGAAGCCAGGAACAACTCCCAGGTGCTGGGAAGCTTTCACGCATTTGTTACAGAGACCTGTTTGTGGTCTCCCAGCCCAGGTATGGTGTTGCCCCATAGCCAAGAGGGCAGCCTTTCCCCCCACACACACGCGTGATACTCACAGCCTGCGCATAGGCGCTGTATGGGCTGAACGGCAAGGTGAGAGATGGAGTGAATATCCCCAGCTGCCCCACCATTTGCTGCATACGACGGAGGGTCCTCTCCTTATCTGTGTCAGCAAACTTCACCACTAGACTGGAGGAGGCGCCCTAGGCACAGAGAGAGGAGACAGAGAGAGGAGGCGGGGGAGAAAAGGCCGTGGGACAGCCAGAGAGTCAGCAGTCAGGCAAGGTGGGATGGGGCAGAACAGGCAGCAGAGAGGAGTGGGAAGAGGAGCAGAACAGCAAATATTGGTGTGAAAGCGCTCAGGAGGCTGCCTGGAACCTGGGCTGTGCCCTTCCCCATCCATCCATCCATCCAACCCTTCCCTCTCCCACCCTTCCCCTCACACCCTGGGCTTTGCACAGCTGCACAGGTGGGTGCACACATCCCTGGCTGCGTTCACCAGGTGATGGTGCAGCCAGGAACACCTGGACACTGTCAGCCACAAGCACCATCTTTCCACCACCATGAGCTTGGCTGGATAGGCAAAGCAGTTCCTGGCAGCTGGAAATACCTCTGCTGCAGCAATGCACTGTCCTGCCCACAACGTGCCCCAATCCAGGTGAGAGATCGTGAGAGAGGAGATCACAACTGCAGCGCCACTTGCACAAGAAGGCACAGCTGCGGCTACACAACCCCACACAATGCACAAAGAGTTGCCATCCACATCCAGCCTGCCCCAGAAGGCAGTGCTCAGACACTGGAGTCCTGACTGCTCACATTGCTGAATTGTTAGCTTGCACCCTGCTCAGTTTTGTACTACTCCAGGTAGCTGTCTCCAAGACAAATTCATGGCCTGGTTCTTGGCTCTCTTTTATTTAGCCTTTATAGCTATATAAGTGCTGTCACTACCAGTCTGGACAAACATAGATACACACACCAGCCCAGGAGACAAGATGGTTCCCAAAGACAAGAGCACAGATGTGCACACGCACACCCCCCACACCCCACAACCCCACAAGCCGGAAACTGCAGTTGAACCTGTCATGGTTTTGGACAGTGAGGGGAGGTCCCTGCAACAGGGTGACGGGAAGAGGATTAGGAAGAGGGTAGGTACCCTGGCCTTATACTCACGGGCATTGTCTGGCTGCCATGGAGTGCGTGGATTGCTGCCTGAGCCTCTGTGTGAGATGAGAACTTTACAAAAGCACAGCCTGGAAAGGGACAGAAAGAGCACAGGAGATTTGCAGTGACAGGACTGCTGTGAAAGTGCCCCCTGCATCATCACGCAAGAGACAGTATCCGGATCTCAGGCAGGGCAAAGGAAAGCCACCCCAAGAAAGCAGGGAACAAAAAGGATGACTCATCCCAAGTCGTCTATCCTGGAAAAAACAGGAAGGGTCTCAAATTGTTACTTCAACGATATACTCTATAGATGATGTCACCATCTCCACCCTTGCCCCTGATTACCTCTTCCCCAGATTCTCTATGCACTCCTAATTGTGGGTACAAACATTTCAAATTGCAGACCCAGACTGAGCCAACAGGCTCACTAGTGATCCTGATAACTCAGCTACTCATCGTGCTCTGCTTCCCCTCCTTTCACCTTGGTCTCTACCCATCCTCCCCAATCTTTCCTTGCAGCAGACAACTCTTCCTGCCCTGCTCCCTATGCCTGGCTGTGATATGGGTTCCCATAAAGATGGGGTGGGGGAATAAGTGCCCCAGTGGAAAGGAGGCACAGGTGGTGAGGCAGATGAGCGCTACCTGAAGAGCAAGGAGAAAGGGCATGACACACAGAGGGGTTCACACCTTTGCTGTTACCATCAGGTCCACGGAGCACCGTACATTCATCAATGACCCCAAATGGTTCAAAGAGCCGGAGCACATCATCCTCAGACTGCTGCTTATTTAACATGCCCACAAAGAGCTTCCTGTCCCCTAGGGGCAAACACAGAAACATCAACCTTCTATGAGGCTTACAGTCCAAAGCAGGAGGAGAGGGACACTTAAGCACAAAACAGCCTAGTGTGGAAAACATGCCTGGCATGGAAATGATTTGCTGTTGGCTGAAATGCTTCCAGGGGTGAGTATGCAGGGTCCTCCCAAGCTCTCCACACCTGCAAAGGTTTCTGTGGCTTCCCCTGTCCTACCCTCCCCAAAGGAGAACAAAAGATTAATAATTTCCTTCTATTCATCAGCCCTTTCCTTTGAATGATCCAACACAAATGGTAATAAGAAAAACTGCCTCGGCAATTATACCCTTATTGAACAACATGTGAAGTCCAAGAGGTACCTTAGGAAATACAGCAGACCAACCCAGGCAGGATGAATAAATTCCAGGACCTTTGGCTTCTGTTTCCTTTTCCTTCTCTCCAAGATCACTGTTTCCACAGCTGCTATGTAACCAAGCATCTTAGCTTCAATTTGCCCTTCCCTCCCCAGTCTAACCAGTATGTCTATCGTGCTGTCCTCTAAGGCCTGGAGTAAACCCTGGCATCCTGGGTCCCAATTTGCTTCACCATAGGATCAGCCAAATGCAAGACAGTTGGGTGAGGGCCAACAAATAGCTCCATGATCCCCACTCCCCCCTCTCCAAGGGCATTTTGTACCCATGTCACACTGGTGGGGGGCTGGAAGGCTGGCCAACACATCCAGGACTTTGAGCTCAGGGTCCTTCTGGGCTCCTCCAGGGTTCCTCCATCAGAAGGAATTGAGGATTATGGTTTTGTTGGGATGGCCAAGTGTGGAGGTGGGAAGAAAGGTGCACAGTGCTTTCTTCCCCTCTCTACCCCTATCAGTACACACAGGGGCCCATCACAGCCTGATGCCATCCAATAGAGCACAAACACAGCAGTGGCTGGGGCAACATCCTCCACAGATTGCTGTGAACAGCTATTAAAATAGCACAACATTAAAATCCCAGCCTAAATGCCAGCCTAATCTCCATTTTTGCAAGGAGACAGTTGTGCCAACTACAGAGTTAACCCTCCTCCACTGGCCCAAACATGTATAGGGGAGACACAACCCATAGGAGTGAATGTGTCAGGATATGGCTTGGGAAGAGAAGTGAGAGAGGATTCCTTATTGTTAGCGACAGGATCAGAGGGGCTGGCTTCAAACAAAACCAATGTAATGTGACGCACGTCAGGGAAAATAGCAAGGAAGCTGCTATCTGTTTGAGAGTGCAGTGACCTGAAAAACAACAGGTCTTGGAGCTACAGAAGCAGAGCAGACTGCAGGGGTGGTGGTGTGTATGTATGGCAGGAACGGATGACACATTACACATTCACACTGCCGGCAAAGCCCCACCACAGCCGCTTCCTTGCTCCCCTTGGCTAAGAGGATGGTTCCCACCCAGGTAAGTAAGCAAGATGCCTCCCCACAACTGCTCTGCCACATACAGACACACCTGGGAACACATGCAGGAAGTATCTACACGTGCCATTGGTCCCTTGCAGAAAAGCAGATGCACACACACACAATATTAATGGACAAGCACATAGTCTCATGCATGCACGGGAACATGCTTGCACACTGACCCAGCCCCAGCAGGTGCCTTCAGAAACAAACTTCCTCAGTGAGCAAGAGGGATGTGCAGACAGATGCACTCTTCCACCATGCAGACACCACAGGGAGCCACTTTGTATGGCTGCACCACCCCACAGAGCCCAAGCACAAGCTCATGCAGGCACAGCTCTCCACTACGCACTAGATGTACATGCAACACAGATGCCACTTTGATCCACCACAGATAAAGGGTTAAAAGTGCTGCATCTAAGGCTCTTACCCAGGCTCCTGATTTATATCATTGGAAGCGGCTGAAATATATGGCCTTGTGTATTTTTTCAAGGCCAAATTTCCTGGCTTCCCCATTTTCTTGATTCCCTGGATAACTAAAACTGTGGGAATTTCATCCCCTTCCATTTTCCTTGTGATTCTTTCTACATTTCTCCCTGCACCTGCATGACAACAGTTGCATTTTGGAGACACTATTTCAGCTGATTGAGTCCATCCAAAATTTAGTGCTCTGGCAATGCCCAATAATCCCCAGCCAAGGCACAGGAACTAATAAACCAGGTGCTGTACAGATGCCTTCTTAGCAGTAAGACAGCATTTGCCCCCACTGAAGGGTCAGCTCAGAAATGCTGGTGGGCAAACCAGCCAAAATATAGCACATAGAGAAGGTGAAAAAACTGACTGGAAGTGGAGTGGAAAAAAAATGGGACTGGTCAGAAACATATTTACCAGGAGGTGGAGAGGAGAATGGAAACTAAAGGAACAGTATCTCTGTGCTCCCATTAACATCACCTGGCACCATATGTGATCCCAGTTTGGCTATGGGAGGGGATACTTGAGCTCTGCAGTGTTCCCCCTTCCTCTACCCTGAATCTATATTGCAGCTGCAGCCAGGCCTTATTTCAGATATGTGCAGCATGCTGCGGCCTTTGGATTGCAAACACAGAAGGAGTTCCTCAAAAAACACATCAACAAAGGGGAGAAACACACTGGGAATTATTTGTACTGTCTTTAGATGCTGTAAAATAATCCCCTGTTCTTTGAACTAACAAGCAAATAATTGTGGACTAAGACTTAACAGCCAGAAATGCACTTGATGGTCTTGCCTTGCTCTTTAGGGACCCCAGCAGGCTGTCTGGCTGTTTGGGTCGGGGTGGCAGGGAGGTGTCAAGACAACTGGGAAAGTCAGTTATATTAAAAATTTTAAAAGCTGGAACTCTAGGTGGGGGGAACATATAGCTACATGGACATAATGCTACTTTTGTAACATTGGCCTTTTGCTTCTGGATCTGATGTTGTGTGAAGTGAGGTTTTTGTGGAAGAACAGTGGGTAACCCATGGAGAGTCAGATAAGTGGTTCCAGTTTTGGTTGATGACTAATTCAGTGCAAAGACCTGATGGCTACCACAGCCACCCAAAGCTTAAGTCTCTGCCAAGCAACAGTCTAATGGATGAAAGAGGCCACAACTTTACAACGGAGGCACCAAACAAAAGGAACCTTGTCAACTTGCAATCAAATCAACATTAAACTGTGAGTTACTAGTTGTTTTCTCCTTCAGAGGGCCTTGAAATTTCCTGGATAATTCTTGTGGTTTCATTCTCATTCTGTTGGATCAAAAGCATTTTTCTTTACCCTGCACTTTGGGAAAGGTCCATTGAAACAGTGGATGCTAGTCTCTATTCTTGCAGTTTTACTGCAGATCTTCTGTTGTCTGACAGGGCTCACTAATGGAACGTTTTGGAAGTCCTGTGTTTATGTGGGAATTTCAGCTTTTCTTTTTTGAATTTGGAAGAAAAAAATGCCAGCCTTCCTGGCTATGCAGAACAGGTTAAAACTGTGATACCTTAGAGACTCAAGCTGTAAAGGCAAATATAAAGAAACACACCTATTGGTTTTGAATCTTTTCTGAATTCCCAGGATGGCAATATTAGAAGGGGGTGAAGTCACTGACAACATAAGAGAAAGATTTTTTTCACAGTTGTTGTTATTTCATACAGCCCAGTTCCCAAGATTGCATGTAGGAAAAGGATCCAGGCTTGTTCCCCTAGGATGCCTCTTTGCAGCAACTGGGGACCTATGAAAGGGCTCCTCTGCTGCTGACCTCTCTCCCTCTCCGTGTGTTGGAGCCCAACCCATGATCTAGTGCCCTCTTGCTTTGGGCAGTTTCCAAATAGGGGCATTCCCCTACCAATAACCAAGCTGCCTCATCTCTCCACAAGTGGGCTGAAACCCTGCAAGCCCTTTCACCTGATGTCTGCTGTCACCACTCTTAAAGCGGTTGATCCCAAATCAGCTGGCATCCTCAAGCCACTGCTGTGGGTCACTGGCTCCTTTGGCTCCCCAGCAGGGATTCCTGCAGTGCTGGAAGATCTTCTCTCCCCCACTTGTAACAGCACACCCTCCTCCTACCATTTTTCCTTCACTTTCTCTCCAGCTCTTGTTTTTCACCCTCTGATTGGCAATTTCCTATGCTGTCCAGCAACCAGGAAAATTGTCTCTGATCTCTGACTGTTGAGTTCCCATGGAAACTCTGGGCACAGTCAGTCACCCAGGCAGCAGGAGGAGGGCCAGTGCAGAGCATGTTGCTGATGAAGATACCACAGGAACAAGCGAGGAGTTAAGGCTGAATGCTTTGGCCATGAGAGAGAGAGGAGAGCACACAAGCACTGGACACTGCTCCTCTTTAAACCCAGTGCATTTAGGTCATCTCGCCAGCAGCTGTCAGCAGCAAGGTTCAGGGAGAGGGAGGAAGCCTGCTCAAGCAGTTGGCTGTGGATGGGACACAGCAAATCTCCTTGGGTATGCAGAGAGCTTCCTTGTCTCTAAGGCAGTGCTAATGGGCTTGGGCTAGCTGTCGTATCACATCAGTGCAACAGAGTGCTCCAGGTCTCGCAAGAAGCACAGACAAGCTCCTCTGCCCCCTCACTCCATTTCCTCCTGGCACTCCCAGGCTCATATCAGAGGCGTGAGGGAAAGGAGGAAAGAGCTGACAAAGCCTGTGCCAGAATCACAGGTCCCCCTCTGAACTAATGCAGGCAGCATTGTTTTACTAGTGAATTCCTTCTGCAGGGTGCAGTAACACTGAGCATCCAGATATCCCCACACAGCCCCTGCAGGGCTTGGCCAAATCTGCCCCTTTGGCACAAAATTAGCATATCTCGGACCACGAGACAAATTCTGGTGCTCTAACTTCATGTACTTAATTCAGGGTGCTTAATTTGTGACATCAGTCCCTGGAGAGGATAATGCAGAGCCTCACTGATGCATGCAGCTGTTCCCTTGACAAACTCCTAGTCCAAGCAGTTCTGCCCTGCCCCAAATCTTTCTTTTACCTCCTGCCAGTGTGGGGCTATTGCTATAGGGAGTGGCTCTTCCCATATCTGCAAACCTGCTCATCCACTTCTCTGACAAGTGGAGCATCACAACAGAAACCTTTGGAAAGAGCAACCCGATTCAGACAAATATAGGGTGCTGTCTTGACGCTGCTTCTGTCTCAGGAAAAATTCCAGTTTGTCATGGATCCTGCAGGAGCTACTTGTTTCTGAGCTCTGCAATGAAGCTGGAAGGAAGCTAGGCACATGGGCTGGACGGTGGCAGGTGTTCAGACTCCAAAGGCTGCTTTTTTCTATGCCCTTCTCCATGGGAAGCAGAGCTGATGCCCTGATGTTTGCAGTCATTAGAGATTGTGGCACTTTTCATAAGCTTAGAGATTTCAGAGTCCAGTACCTTGACCAAAAGCTTGCCTCCAAATCAACATCCTGTTTTTGAACCTGTCAGCCTATTTCAGCTTAATTTGACAGAGGAGCTGAGGCATCAGAGATGTTAAGTCCCAACACATTTTGTGATACTAGGTGGCTGTGTATAGAAGAGAGTCCCTAGTAGTGCCCCACCAGCAAAAGAAAGACTGCAGAAATTACCTCAGCCTAGTATTAGACACCAGAGATTCCAGAGTTGCACTCATCTAAAAGACAAACTGTTAAGAAAACAAACCTGCAGTGGTCGGTCTGTTCACAGCCTGAATTGTCTGTTTGGTCTGTTTTTACTGCTGTTGTGTGAGAGCTTAATGCAGGGGGTCAGCTGTGCATGGGTGGTACTGGTGAAGGTAAATGTGTGCATTTGCCTATGAATGTGTGTGTCAAGTGGGCACATGTATGTATTTGCAAAGCAGTGCACACATGAGACATCTGTCTGTAGGTACATCTGCCTGTGTCTCTGTGTTGGCTGTGAGGGTTGCTATGCAGCCGTGTCTTACAGCCTGAGAGTGCATGGGATCTGCCAGTGTGTACATGTAATGGTTTTGTGATGTTGAATTATTGGTATGACTGGCAAAGGCTTTCCCAGTCTCCTATGCTTTTTTTTTTTTTTTTAAAAAAAAAAGACTCATTAGAAATAACCTCAGATACAACTACACAATTTCTGAATTAATTAGAAATCTGAGGTGCAATTTTTTAAAATCAGTGTGGTGGGTGAAGGATTGACCACCTAATGGTTGTATTTAGAGGCAATATGAGGTGTCGGTGAGCAGCTGTCTTCCTCTATCCACACTGCAGGCACTCTAAAGGATAGCTCATCCATTCCTAATATCGGTGTCAAGAGTGAGAGAGTGAATCACCCTGAAGGCACTGTTCTCTTTTTACTGTCCATAGCATGGACAAGGACCTTAACCTCAACCCTATACCTGGAGGCTGAAGTAAGGTGAGATGAATCCAGTCCTATGTGTTTTAGGCATGCTAGTTTCTTTGGAGGCTTAAGCCACAGTTCTTTTCAAAAGAAGCACGTCTATAGGTGGCGTGTCTGGGATTCTCTGTATAGCCCAAGGGAATAAAAATGCCCAGACTTCAGTAAAAGTCAGGTGTCTTATCCCTCAAGTAAATAATGAAAAGTCACAGATTCTGTTTGGAAAAATGATCTGACTTAAGCAGATAAACTTTTTTTTAAAAAAGGAGGATCACACGATCATAAATACACACATTCATATAAAATATTATAAAATATATCTCATGTTCCTGCCAGTGCAATAATTGAAAGTCACTACAAACTGCTTGGAAGTGACCCCTTAAAATTTAAAACAAAAGCTTTCCAAATCTAAACACAGCATGCAGGATATGCTGCCCTACAGGACAGTCACACAAATTCTCCACTCCCCACTACTAAACTGCTTTCAGAGGCAGCACCAACAGCACAAGGCATGGAGAGGCAGATGCAGGAATGGAGAGAAAAGAAATGTATCGGTAAGACAAGGAAAAGCAGCAAAACAAGTTCATAAATTTGGAAAGGGCTGGAGTTGCAAACCTTTTCCACCTGGAGGAGGCATCTGAGCTGTTGTGAGCTCCCCGCTAAATTAAGAGATTCTTCTGTTCCCAATCTTACAACTCTGAACTACTCAGTATATGCTGCTCTAATCAAGCTGGTCCCCTGCAGGCTGACAGCACCTCCATCTCAGGCTTAAACTCAGGATCCCTTCCCTTCAGACACTATTTCCCCATCACGTGCTATTTTCTGCAACAGCACTTGGGCCCTGACAGGGTGATGGGGGCTGCTGCAGGACTGAGAATGGAGAGGCTGAGACAGTCCAACAGCAATGGAGGAGGCAGGGGAGTGAGCTGCAGACAGGAGAATCAGCTGCGGAGCAGTGATCTGAACAGGTTAAAAAGCCAGTGCTGCTGCAGGGATCTGGCTTTTATTGGGCTGATCAGGTAGAAGAATGAAGAAACCTCTTCCCAGCTGCTTACACCCTCCAGGAGCCCTCGTGCCATGCACCAAAGTGCATGCCTGCTTCAGTAACCTCCTGAGGCAGACACTGTCAGGCTAATAGTACCCTCAAAGGGCTGAGAAAGAGAGTGGAGCGGGCAGCCACATTATTACCCTTAGGACTTGGTGTGCTCTCAGCTGCCTGCTGTGCCAAGCTGAAGGCTCCCCATCAAAGCCTATCCCTAGACTCTCCTCCTGCCCCCCCCAAATTCCCTGCCACATACAAACATCCCTGCATACAGATGGCGGACAGAGGAAGGCCAGGTCAGGACTCTGTGTCTTTACTTGGTCCCCCTCACAAGCACAAAGCCACCAAAGGAGAAACAAGGAGAGATGACAACTACCTCCACGGCTCTCGCTGTCTGCAGGCTTCACTTGAATCGGGCGCGCCATCTGCAATGAAAGAGAAATGCAGAGGGTTAGAGCTTGGGCCATCTGCCTGGCACACGGTACTGCCGGCAGTGGCACCAGGGTGCCCCTTTCTGCCTGCTGTGCAGAGTAGGAGAGTGGCAGAAGAGAACCAAGACATCATGATAGCAACCAGAACCCTTGGAGAAGGGACCACATGGATTTCAGACTTCTCAAAAGGAAACCTGGTGCTTTCCCCTGCTCAGCTGCTTGCCTGCAGGGAACAGCTCTCCTGGAAATGCCCACCATGCATAAATCTCCACCTCCTCAGAGACAGCAAGTGGCAAAGAAAGGACTCCAAGGAAGCATCTCATCACCATGAGACTGGAGCCTGAACAGTGGTCAGGGTGGCCTAAGGTGAGACTATGCCTGGAAGCTCTTTCTATGCCCACCCTGACTCAACGCAGGCACGGTCACTTCACCTAACTGAGCCACTTACTTTCCTTGCAGGAGGGAGGAAAGACTGCCTCTGAACTTGGCTAGAAGCAGTACAGCAAGCAGGCATGTTATGTTTTCCCTTCCCCAGCCCCCATGCAGTCAGAGCTCTGTACACCAGAGTGGCTCTGAAGAAGGGCAGTGCTGCTCTCCAGCAACATCTCCTGTCCACATGGGGAATGCTCAGGTTGAAAGCAAGAAAACTTGTCTTGCTTGGTTGTGGAGCAGAGCTGTTTCTCTCTCTTGAACCTGTTAGTGTCATCAGCAATAATCCAACCACAAGCAACAAGCTTGAGGGGTAGCTTAGCTCACGTGATACAGGGTCTCTCCAGGTAAGACAGAACACTTCCACGCATTAAGTAACCCACAGCTTTAACTGTCTGATTTGCAAAGCAGGGCTAAACTCTTGTCTGCTGGAAAGTATGTGCATCCTGTGCTGCCCAGAAAGGCAACGGACAAGCTGTAGCCTCCTTCCCAGGCTAGCAGGAGCCAGCTGAGCCAGAATCTCCTCCAAGGAATGGTGTACAAGGCAGATTTCCACATTCACAGCACATCTCACTCCATGTCTCTCAGCATCATTCACAGAGGCTGACAGTGACTTGAATCAGTGACATTCATATTAAAAAAACAATCAGAATATCTCAGGTAAGAAAGACCTGCATGCAAGTTGCAGGTCCAGGCATAGTCTGCCCCCTCTCTTAGGAAACACCCTCAGGAAAAACAGCAACCACAACAAAACAGAAATGAAATCAAGCCATAGAAGTCACCAACTGAAATGTGTTTAGAAGCCAGCATGCAAAATGTGGACTGCTGTCAGTCTCCAAGCGGTGGCTGAGCCAGACTGGCCAGAAACCAGAGGAAGAGCCCACATTCACAACAGCTGGAGGAAACCCGTGAAGTAACTTTGCAGTTCACAGGACAGAGATGCCAACCAGAAGGTGACAGGCTGCCGTGGCATGGCACACCGCTGCTGAAGCCTGACTGCTGGGCATGGGAGAGCACTTGTGGCAGCTGGGGGCTGTGAGCTGGCTTCCACTGACTGGTGGATCTCAGGCAGGATGAGCAGAAGCTGGGACCAGTCCCAAGTGATACCATCCCTGCCTCAAGGAGCGATATGGGGCTGCTTGACAGAGCCAGAGACTGGCTGGCAGCTCCTCAAAGGAAGGCCAAGCTGCTGCCATGCTGCACCTCAGTAAGGAGCAGTGCCAACTCCAACTCCATCTCCCAGGACTTGTTGTGTCATTTGGGGGAGAGGGAAAAGCGCAGGGTCCCTTTCCCACTCTCAGTCGGCTGCGTGGATTTGCAGAGCTCCTAACATCCTGCTGTGTTGCCACATGACCCCAGCATGTACACGACTGGCACTCGCCAGCCTCTGGGCTGCTGTTTCCCCCAAGAACTGCCAAGGACCAGGCATCTCTTCCAGCCCATGAATGGGGTGGGATGGGGGGCAAGGGTTCAGAAGGATGAAGTCAGACATTGTTCCAGAAAGCCTCAGATTTCCTCCCTGAGAGGCAGTGGCTCCTATGGCTGCTCCCAGCCTCTGGCAATATACCTGTGCAAAGCCAAGGCTGGGGGTGTTTCAGCAGCAGCCTGGGTGGGAGAGGGCAGGCAGCCCAGATGTGTGCTCAATAGAGAGGACTCAGTGCAGAGCCAAGAGGGGCAGCTGGCCACCACACTCCCCACTGCTCCCACAGCAATGAGAAATAGCTTTATTTCTACCCAGGATGCAAAACCAGAATTAAGCTAAACAGAGGGGGAGGGAGATAGAGGGCCAGACTCAGATCTCAGCTTCTGTGAGGAGCAAATCCATTTGGGGGGAGGGAGGAAGGGATGCCGTGGAAGCCAAGAGCATCACACCCCCACATGAGCACAGACCCACCCAGGGATGCTGGGGCTGAGGGCTTGGGGCAAGGAGTAGGAAATGATGGGAGGTGAGGGAGGGGGTTAAGTACCTGAGGACATCTCCCTGTCCCCTCCCCCAACAGGGCTTTCACTCCAGCTTCCAGCACCTAGGGTAAAGGAGGTGTTGTCATGGAAACAGTTATTCACCACATGGAACCTGACATTTGTAGTTGCCATGGAAACCAGCTCTTGGGGGCATTCCCTCTGCTTTGCACAAAAGAGACACTTTGATATGATCTCTGGGGAGGGGGCCCCCTCTACCCATCTGTCCACCCCTTTCTTTCACCACATCCCAGTGACTGCTACGCAGCCAAGGGTGCACTGCAGGGCCTGCCCCTGGGATGGTGAGCCATGGCTGGCCCTACTGAATCTGCCCACCATGGGGGAGTGTGCCCCCCAGAGTCACACACCCATACCAGGGCAACATGCCCACAGCAGGACCATGGCACAATGCCTGCAAGACAGCACCAGTAGTAGAGGTGCCAGCGCCAATGCCAGCACAGTGATGTGGGTTAGCACTGGTGCAAGTCTGGAAGGAGTGTCTGGCTGCAGCGACAAGAGGAAGCGGGGCTGTCTAGGGTGAGATCAAGCATGTGGTCTGCTCTGCAGCCCACAGCTGTGGCCACAGCTTCTCTCTTGCCTACTTGACACAGCACCTTGGCAGGGCACAGGAAGACTCACTCTCTGCCAATGTCAGACCAAGTCCTCAGTCAAGGGCTGCCCATTTCCAGAGACCTTGCCAGCTCCAGTGACTTTGAGAGCCACCCACCGAACTGAGGTCTCATCTCTGGGCTGGTCTTCATCTGTTCTGGAAGATGTGAATAAAGAGGAGAAAACAAGATACAAGAAATTTGTCCAGATGCTGAGGCTTGAAGAAGAGCAGCAGGATCCTCTGCCTGCTGCTTCCTGAAATGGGAGGTCCGCCAACTGAGGCAGAGGCAGGCACGGTCCTCCTTGCAGAGAACTGGACACCCAGAGGCTTCCACAAACAGGATAACAACACTTTAATCCTACTAAGTCCCATGTTGCCATTAAAGATGAACAAAATGTCAGAGGCCTCTCAAGCACAGGTGTGAGACTACAAATGCAAAGAGTCCCCAGTTGCTTTAACTCAACAACACAGGTTGCAAGGCCTTGAGAAGTGACCCTGTGGAGTCCTAAACTTTGTATACAGCTCTCAGACAAAGAGCTCTGTCCCCTACAGGAACTCAACACACAGAAAGGATGGTCAGGCTTCACCCTTTCATCTGAGGGAGAAAGAGGGTAACGGGACAGCAGGGAGGACAAGCTTCTGGCTTGCACAGCAAACCCTGGAAGTACAAATCTTCTGGCCTCCAGCCATCATCTCAAGCTGCACGGTAATCAGAGAACACACCTGACTCTAAGAAAGCCATATTTGTACATGCCCAGCTGGGCCCAGAATCCAACAGTCAGGATGTGCCTGTCTTAAATTCCAAGTGCCAAGTAGATGCACATGCACGGACATGCATGCCTTTACCACACAAGAACACAAACATATGTGAACACACATGTGGCATACAGAACTTGAGCAAATGATTTATGAGCCTGTGCCTGCCTCACTAGCTGAGCTTTATTTTCCTCATTAAATTATTCAGCTAAGCATTATTATTCTTCATTTCTGAAGAATACCACATTAACATTTATCACATGCTGTCAGGCCACCATGGGCCAAATGTCCCCCACCCCGAGTCCCTCACCCCCGCACTTCCTACCCGCTGCTAATGACAGACTAAGAGCTGTCAGTTCCATGACCCACTGGACTCAAGAAACCTTCTGGAGCCACATGCAGCAATGGACACCAGATAGGCAGAACATGGGAGGGGGCAAAGCTCCCACTGCCCCCCTTCAGCTTCTCCCTCACATCTGCCCTCCTGGCTGGATGCACACCTTCCCTTTCCAAACACAGCCATGCTTACCCTCCACAGCCCACAGCTCTCACATATGATGTTTCTCTGTCTGCATGGCTCTCCTTCTAACAAGGACGCAGCCTTCATTAGCTTGCTTTTTTTGAGGTTACCGGTGGGAAGCGACTGGCGAGCCTGATGAGGACATGGAGCTATACTGACCACCGGAGGGTTACACGCTACAAAGCACAGCAGCTACATTTCCTGCGTAGCCCTCAGGGAGCAGAGAGCCTAGAGGTTTCTAGGGAAGAGCCAAGGGTGACAGGCCTTGCTGGCAAGTGTCTAGATCACATTGCACCCCATCCCCAGCATCTGGTCAGCTTAGAGAAACGGGGAACTGTGCTCTGTTTGGGCTTCCTCCCTGCTTTCAAGGAAATGCTCCCCCACCCTTGTAGCACTCTTGGGATCAAGGATCTAAGGAAAATTGCTGGCCCTGCTAAAGTCAGAGGAAGCTTTGCTATTGGTTTCACCAAGGCCAAAATGCACCATTTCTCTCACCACACACCAAAAAAACCCTTCTGGAGGTGAACTAGCTCCCCACATTTACACCGATGCCCAGCATGAGCTGTCATCTCAGCAATCTGGTAGCCATGTTCTCCAAGAAGGAGCAGTGATCCCCAGCTCTCGCTTCCTCAGCTTTCAAACTGCAAAAGTTGGGTAGAGAGAGAAAGCCCCCTGGGACAACAGGGCAAGCCTCTCTATTAATTAGGAGTAAGTGATATA